GGCCCAATTATCCTTTCTTTGTTAATAGGCCAAAGTCCATGTCCAAAATCAATAATGGGCCACTTGGCCCAATAAGACCCTATCATAACTCTAATGGCCCAACACGGATAAAATAGCCCACTATTCTTAGAATGTAACCAAGTCCAACAACTAAATGAGGCCCAACAGATCAAAGGCCCAAAACAGATCCAAGCCTAACTATGATAATCCCTTTTCAGGGCTACACATTCAGCAACACAAAATCCCCCACCTGGAACTCAAGATCTGATCGCCGTCGGTCAACATAACTTTTCTGATGACTCTGCACGACCCACACCCGGTCGCGCACCTGCTGAATCAGACCGGTAGTCTTGAGCACTACTTCAGTGCTTTTCATGATACGGTGTCCAATCTCGTCCCAACATACTGGGGTTCTACACCTCCGACCATATAACATCTTGAATGGAGCTCGGTCGATACTGACATGATAACTGTTATTGTATGAAAACTCCGCCAGTGGAAGGTACATGTCCCAACTACCTCCAAAATCCAACACGCATGCTCGGAGCATGTCATCTAGTGTCTAGATCATCTTATCGCTCTGGACATCTATTTGGGGGTGATACACCGTACTAAAATGCAGTTGAGTACCCAGTTCCTCGTGGAACTTCTTCCAAAACCTGGATGTAAATTGGACATCCCTGTCAGAGACTACCGACACTTGCACCCTGTGCCTAGCCACCACCTCTCGTACATAAATATCCGCCAACTTCTCCACGGATATTCCATCGGAAATAGGAATGAAGTGAAAACTCTTCGTCAGTCTGTCTACAATCACCCAAATAACGTCCATGTCCCTAACCGTGCTCTGTAACTTCGTGATGAAGTCCATAGTGACCTCTTCCCACTTCCACATGGTAATGGGTAGTGGTTGTACCTTGACATGAGGCCACTGATGCTCGACCTTGACCTTCTTGCAGGTCAAGCACCACTCCACGAACCATGCGATATCCCACTTCATGCAGGGCCATCAATAACTCAGTCTCAAGTCCATATACATTTTTGCAGCCCCTAGATGTATATACAACTTGGACTTATGTACCTCTTCTAATATCTTCTGTCTCACTCCCCCAATCACCGGTACCCACACCTGGACACACTACGTCAAGAGGCCATGACTATCCTTAACAAATAAAGGATATTGTCCTTGGATTTTGGTATGGTTGTGAAGGAATTTGGAGCTTAAAGAGGTTGGAGTAAAGGGAGAGGCTATAAATCCGACATCTACTTTGTGTTAGCAACCATTTGGAGGTAAAAAGTATTTACCTTGGCTTCCTATTTATTAGATCCTCCCTTATACATGAATATGGTCATTTCTAGTGTAAAGTGGAGTCACTCTTAGGTTTGAGCTTGTTATGAGGACATGGTCTCTGATCTGGACTCCTTTACGCCCCATGGACATAAAGTTGTTGATTTTATCTAGTCTTGGCCCTTCTCCATGCCCTAAACCTCTTCCTAAGCTTAGTTTTGGGTGTTTTGGCCTCTTGAGGCCTTGCATGCACGTAAAGTTGGCAACTTTACGTGGTAATTACACCCTAGGGGATTGGATCTGTAGTTTGGAGCTTTAGATTCGATTGAAAAGGGTTAAATAGGTTAAGACTGGGAAAAATCGATGAGTTTCCCTGACAACTCGACGAGTTAGGTCGAGTTACCCCACTTTCTGGATACTAAGTGAACTCGACGAGTTGATGAGACAACTCGATGAGTTAGCTAGGGTTTTTCCCGATTTTTTGAACAATGAAGGAACTCGACGAGTTGTTAGATGCACTCGATGAGTTAGGGTCAACATGGACTGTTTACCATAACTATTGACCTGGACTTTGACCATGGTTGTCCAAGTTTGACTTTGAGGGTATTTTTGATATTTTGGGATTTTAACAAAGTTAGTCACATGATGGTTGTAGGCAATTGAGTTGGAGCTGCTAGTTGGGACTTATCTTATCATTTCAGCATTTCTTGAGAGTTGAGTCTCCTCACCATACCAATAGGTCTTATGCACCAAGGCCAACCCATTCAGTTAGTTGTAGTGTTTATTGTGGATTCACTACTGATATGTTAGTATGCATGAATATGTGAGTGTGCTAGTATTTTATTGACTAGATATGTGAAGACCCCGGGGGGAGCCCATGACAGTTGGATATTGGACCATGGAGGGAGCCCATGGCATACCAGGTAAAGACCATGGGGGCATCCCATGGCAAATAGTTAAGACCATGTGGGGGAGCCCATGACATATAAGTATAAGACTATAGGGGGAGCCCCATGACATCCTGGAGTAAGACCCTAGAAGGAGTCCACGACATCCTTATATATTTATATATGTGTTATGTAGTATGATAGTTATGTTCTGTGATATGTGGTATGCTTGTTGACTATGTGTCATTTACATGGAAGACCCCAGAGGGAGCCCGTGGCAGTGGGATATCAGACCATGGGGGGAGTCCATGGCATTCTAGGTAAAGACCATGGGGGGCCCATGACATGTAGGTATAATACCTCGGGGGAGCCTACGAAATCCTGGAATAAGATCTTGGAGGGTTTTCACGGCATCCTTATATGTTATGCATGGCTTATGTGGTTTATGTACCTAATATAGCTAATATGGATTATATGACTATATGGATTGCATGGGTTATGCTTTGGGGAACTTACTAAGCATTCACTAACAATTTGTTGGTTGTTTCAGGTACTTCAGAGCCTAAGGGCAAGGGCCCGACGTGATGATGCGGTATGCACTCTCCGACGTTTTTTTTTTTTTTTTGGGACACTATGATGTTTTAGGATAATTTATTTGATATTATGGATTTTTGAAAACAAATGTGGTTGAAATATCATGTCTTTTGAGAATGATTTTTTTAATTAAAAATGAAAAAAAAATTATTAGAAATTTGGGCTCATTCTAATTAATTTATTAAGCACAATAAATTAATAAATCATTTATACTTTCTACAAATGTCATTCTAAACCATTTATATTTATGAGGCCAACTTAAAAGGGAATTTGCTTTTAATTACTATAATATACAAATTTAGTTATGAGCTTAGACACCTTAATCCAACAATTTCCCACTTGGATAAGTTTATAATTACAATTACAAGTATAACCTCGAACCAAACAACAAAGTATATTTTCTAAAACCACTGTCAAACTCTGACTCATATCTAACATTGACCCTAAGATAAGCTATCAATTATCCCTTCACTCTTCATGGTATTGTACGGACACGAGACATGTATTATAATCAATCTTAGGTCTAAGAATTTGTTTCCCAATTTCCCAATTTGTGATGACGTTATTAGACTACTAATTGAACACATTAATTTAGTCATGGTTGGGCCCATCACTACAATAGCAACATCAAATTACCAAGGGGGCTAAAGATATTGTTTTTCCTGTTAGGGAAAAAGGAATGAATACACTTTAACTATATAATCGTACATTTTAGTAACCAAATGAGATAAAGTATGGAGTGGAGCTTGTCAAGTTCCTTTTTAATGGTATTGATGTAATTCATATTTGCTTGCTAAGGCTATATTGATGCTTAATGGTAACACTCAATGTTTTAATTTGTAAGTGTTTTTGTGGGATCGATTTTTGTTAAATGTAGGTTAATACCCGAATGTTTTTAAAACCATAACATTTTAAAGTTTAAAAAAATCTAGGATGCTTTAATGTTCGTTCCAGGATTTTATGGGGGTGGAATAGGTTTCCGACAAGTATATGGGGAAAGGGTACTATTTTTTTTTTATTTTTTTTTTTTTGTTATTAAACTTCCACCTCAGTCTTTCTCTCTTCACATCCTCCTCACTTTTATAGAACTAAAAAAAACCATTGTAAAATGAAGAAAACATGATAGATCTTCATTCTTTATTTAATTTTTGTGTTTTTTTAATATCATCTTACCAAAATAATATCATTATCTAAGAAAATTTAAAAAAATATAAAAAATAAAAATAAAAGAAGGGATAAATGAGAAAAAGAAGATAGATGGTGAAATTACCAATTTTAAAATCTAACAAGTTAATGGTTAAATTTAAGCTCTGTTTGATAAACTAGCTGAAAAATTAATTGATAGCTAAAAAGCTAGATCTTATAGTTTATAAACTTTTAAAATGATGTTTAGTAAAAATAACTGATAAACTAATTAAAATGTGTGTAAGATAACATATATAATATTGTGTGTTTTATTATTATTAAATGAATTGTATATCTGAGAGAATTTATTTAAAAAAGAAAAGAAAAAACTCAATATAATTATTGAAATGCTAGTTTGAATAGTTTTTTTTATTTAAATATATTATATAAGTTACTTTTTTATTTACATAATATGACAACAAAAAAAATCTCAAAAAAAGCTAGACATGATCAATAAGGAAATGAAGGAAAATCTACTATAGAGTCCTTATATTTTGATATCATATTCAATTGTGGATAATTTTTCAGATCAGTAGGTTTTACATTTGTGTGGTATCTATAAAGTTTTTACATTTGGATCTCATATTCAATTAAGTCACTATATTTTAACATCATATTCAATTAAGTCTCTACATTTTGACCTCATATTCAATTAAATCCTTACACACGATACTAAAATATGTTGTTAACCGGTTGTAATATTGACTAACCTTCAAATTGTCCACAATTGAATAATTTAACTGTATTTGGGACTTAATAAAAAAATAATGTAGATACTTAATTGAGTATGATACCAAAATGTAGAGATTTTATAGAAGATTTTTTTAGAAATGAAACAATGAAACAAAAACACAAATTGGATCAAAGTTGCCTATTTTGTTACACCACGAGGACCATTTATGTAACTTGGTCTTTATATTTTGTTATATTTTTATATTGTTTAAGGCGTTCTAAAGATGTATGTTGTGATTCAATGATAAAAAGTTATGATTACAAAATCAAGCAAAATGTATTTTAATTTTCAACAAAGAGTAATATGGGTCGGAGTCGGATCCAAATAATACTCGATACCCACACGCACTCTCACTCGTCACGTGTCTTCTATATGCAGAAAGAAATCGGGTCAAGAAATCGCAATACTCTCCCCACCCACTCTCTCTCCCGACGTCTTCTTCATCACTCCCTCTCTCTATCTTTCTCTCTCTGTGTGTGTGTCTTTCTACCAAAAAGCCTAAAACCCAGTTGGTTTCACAGAATTCTGTATTTGGGTTTTTGTTTCCATGGACTCTAACCGGCCGTAGACGCTCGTCGCCGGTTAACCCTCAATGACTCTCCTCGATTCCCCCACCATCGATTGCGTTCAACAACGCATCAAACGGAAGCTCGAAGATTTCATCGACGATGACCTCTCCTCCTCCGACTTAGTCTCCGTCAGGATGAGAAAAGACGATCCTAACCCCGACTCCCCTTCTTCTACTGCCACCCTCAATTCCTTCCCTGATCAAATCACCACTCATCATCCTCATTTCCAACCTAGGGCTTCTTCCAGTTCCATTTGTTCTTTCCCCAATTTCACCCAATTCTTCGTTCGGATGATCTCAGGGGGTAAAACCCTAGTTCTCCATGGAAACCCTGAAGATAAAATCATGTCGATCCACGAGAAAATCCAATCCGCCACTGGAATTCCGTTGATGGAGCAAAGGTTAATTTATGGCGGGAAGCAGCTTCACTGGGAGCAAAGCCTGTCTCAGTGTGGGATCACAAACGACTCCGGGTTGCATTTGGTTGGTCGAATGCGAAGCACGGGACATCCGCAAGCTTGGCAAGTCGTCGATGATTTAGTTTCCGTCATCTGCAGGCTGTGTAAAGGCGAAAGAGGGGTTTGCATAAAGTCTGTCAAATCCAGGTTAATGGAATTCTTAAACATGACACCCAAAGACGGAATCGACCATGCCGCTCCTTACCTGAATATATTTCTCTCTTCATCCGCCATTGCAGCACTGGTAATGCTTTACATGTCACCCCATACGGGCAACAAAGAATGTGCCGAAGACTCGATTCAGCATTTCATCAAATCCAGTAGGAACGTGTTACCGAGACCTATATATCCTGAGTTCGCACCTATAGTATTAGAGTTCTGTAAATTGCTTGGTAGAGCTACTGCCCATGATGATCCTCTATATAAACTATGTCGAAGTAGTCTAGGTTCAATGGTGGAGCACGTCAAAATAGGTAGAAATTCAAAATACTACGATGGTAGTAGCTACAAAAAGGTGGTCATAGCAGTTCAAGAGATTTTTCCATTTGTAGACGAGCTTGCAAAGAAGCTATCTGAAGGTTTGATTTCAAGTATGGAGTCCAATTTTGGTCCTTCCCCAAATGACGTCCGTGATTTTGCAGCATTTGTGCGACCTCTGAAGGATGCAATCGTTAGCCAGGTACCTTTTGGGACTCTCATACCAATGCCATACAATCAAAACCTCCCTTGTTACAGTGAGGAAGTCAAATTTCTTTACATGCTGTTTTATGACTTATTGGCAAACCTGCAATTGTGTCTGAATAAAGTGGAGGATGTTGTAAAGAAAGAGAAAGGAGACGGTGGGTGGGATCAATACCTTTCTATCTTAAAAGAGCTGCATTACATTTCTGAACTATATCAAGGTGCAGAAGATTACTTTTGGACGAATTTGAAATCTTATAAAGCTTCTTTATGTTATTTAATCGTTCGATATGCGAAAAGGGGTGATGATTATAAATGGATTCTTGATCATAAAGATCTCACAGACTTTGAATCTAGAAGGCATCTGGTTATGATGTTGCTTCCAGAACTAAAAGATGAATATGAAGAGCTTCATGAGATGCTTATCGACAGATCACAACTGTTATCAGAATCTTTTGAGTATATCGCACGTGCAGACCCCGACACTTTGCGTGGAGGGTTATTTATGGAATTTAAAAACGAAGAAGCCACTGGTCCAGGGGTATTAAGGGAATGGTTTTTCTTGGTTTGTCAAGCTATCTTTAATCCCCAAAACGCCCTTTTTGTTCCTTGCCCAAATGATCGAAGAAGATTCTTCCCAAATCCAGGTTATAACTTATAACCCTATATAGCTTCATGTTTTCCATCTCAATTCTGTTACAACAGGGGTATTAAGGTAATTGTTTCATGTTTGCAGCATCTAAGGTGGATCCAATGCACCTTGACTACTTTAGCTTTGCAGGAAGGGTGATCGCGCTTGCATTGATGCATAAAATGCAAGTTGGGATTGTATTTGATAGAGCATTTTTCTTACAGTTAGCAGGAATGAATGTCTGTTTAGAAGATATAAAAGATGCAGATCCGTATCTATACAACAGTTGCAAACAGATACTGGATATGGATCCATGTGCAGTTGACGAAGATACCCTTGGGTTGACATTCGTTTGGGAGAGTGAAGAGTTAGGTTCCATGAAAGTTCTAGAACTTCTTCCTGATGGAAAACAGATAACTGTAAACAGTAAAAACAGAAAGGAGTATGTTGATCTTTTGATTAAACATCGGTTTGTGACATCTGTTTCACAACAGGTAACACATTTTGCTCGAGGATTTGCAGATATTGTTACAGATGAAGAGATTCAAAAATGTTGTTTTAAAAGCTTAGAGCTTGAAGATCTTGATGGAATGTTACATGGTAGTGAAAGTGATGTTTCTGTTGATGATTGGAAGGCACATACAGAATATAATGGATATAAAGATACAGATCCACAGATTTATTGGTTCTGGAAGGTGCGTAATATTTTCTTGTTTTTTTTTTCAATGGTTTAGGTTGAAAAATTCATTATCTATATATAAATAAATACACACCATTATGACCTGTTATAACAGGTTGCTTGCCCTTTATAAGGGTATAATTGGTACACCAAAAAGAGTTTAGGGACCTTTGATGGTCAAAAGAATTTAGAGTGACCAAATGTGGACAACATATACTTTTTTTTTCGTATACTTGTGATATTATAATAATTATATTATTTGTGTCTATACCAAACAAATAATATTCTCTATATTGATTAATTTAATTAATATAGTTTAATAATGTACCATGCAGTTGCTATTTTTTTTTGTTCTGTATGTCCATGACAAGCCCAATACAATTTTATAATCCATTTATTTTGTCATGAATCATGCTGCGTAATATATTTTTCCTTTTTGCATAAATTTGGAAAAAAAGTATATATTTAATGTAGATTGTGTTTGTGATGCATACGAAATTGGCGGCTGTGATGTATAATTTTATTAAAAGTATTTGACTAATAATATTAATGAAATATGTAAAATATAGACATATAGTAGATAGACTAAAAGCTATATATTTATAATAAAATTATAATCATAAGCATGTTGTTCATGTTAATGGTGTATTTGATAAAAAGTATAGGGACTAAACGTGGACAGATGGAAATTTTATTATTATTAAATTTAATTTTAATTGGCGGTTGGTTGGAATAAACATAACAGATTGTGGGGGGAATGAGTGCGGAGCAACGGAAGGTTCTTCTGTTCTTTTGGACATCAGTGAAGTATCTGCCGGTGGAAGGGTTTGGTGGGTTGGCTTCAAGGCTTTATATTTATAAGTCAAACGAGTCCTTTGACCGACTTCCTTCTTCTCATACCTGCTTTTACCGGATTTGTTTTCCTGCTTACTCATCAATGGCCATGATGCAACAACGCCTCAATGTCATCACCCAGGAGCATGTTGGTTGTAGCTTTGGAACATGGTGACAATGCTCCCCTCCCCTCCGCTTGTACAGAAGATATTATCTTTATATATATATATAAATAGGGTAAATTATGATGAAATTTTCTAATTAGACTTGCATGATATGATGTTTTCTTTTGTTTGTTGCCTTCGCTTGATGCTAGGGTTTTTAGTCTTTGTGATCAACTGTTTATATATATATATATAATATATATGTTATGTGGGGAATAAAGAAGGCGGTTTTCTTCATCTTTTGTTGGTTATATCTAGTTTCATACTCAACATCACAAATGAGTGCACTTTTAGAGAGACAATCCTCTAGGCTTTACAGTCATGTATATCATTCATCTCATTAAGTTAAAAATGAAACAATCCATTAGACTGACAATACAAAACAAAAACAAATTTATTAAGTGATTTCTTGTTCTGTGTATGTACTAGGATTTTGTTTTTAGGTGGAGTTGAATTCAAATTTGGTTTTAGGTGGTGTAAGAGACATGTGAAGTCAAAAATTGTCTAGCCATTATGAAGAGATGAGAGACTTTAATGCATATAAAGACATATATGACTATGGTGTTGCTTAGGCCCAAAGGCTCGATAACATTTCTCCTAGCCAGTTTTGAAATAAAATATCGAGCAACACAAAGACAAATTTTTTTGGTCTAGCATTCTGGCTACTTTATGGTACATATGATATGGAAGGCCGAAAATTCTTTGCTTTTTAGAAAATCTAGAGTATCATCAATGAAGATGGGGGACGAAATCCAAATTAATCTCTATAATCGGTTGAAATATCGGACAAAAATGTCTAGCCTTGATTCTAATTCTTGGATGTGTTCTCTTATAAACCTTTGTAATGATGTCTTGTTGTAAGTTGCATTTTGTCACTTCCTACTAGCGATTTGCTAGTGTGGCTTATAATATATATGCTGTCCTAAAAGAATATAAATACTAAAAAAAACAAATATTATTTAAGAAAACCTCACGGAATAACATTTCACCACACTCATAATCATATAATTAAACATAAAATCCTTGGAATAAAACTCGATATTCCAAGTGATCATATCCCACCATTCATCTACTGCCACATGGCTTTTGAATATTCAAGCCCACAAAAACACCTCCAACATATAAATCAAACTTCCACCTTTTTCTCAGTCGAATTCATCACTCTGTCTTCTCAACTGCCGCTTCAGTGGTGTCACTGGCAACAACTTCAGCCGGCTTTTCTTCTTCCGTCACCTCCTCCTCCTTTGCCGGAGTTTCTTCAGCGACTACATCTGCTGCCGGAGTTTCCTCAACAGCTGGCTCCTCCTCCTTCACCGGAGTCTCTTCCTTTGGTTCTTCGTCAACCACACTCTTTGGCTGCTCAGTCACTTCCTTTGTCTCTATTTCCACCGGAGCTTCCACAGGAGTCTCCTCCGCCTCTGGTGGAGGAACATCCACGGTGGTTTCCTCCTTTGGTTCCTCAACCACCAGCTCTGGAGTAGCCGGTGGTGGTGTATCAACTACTGGCTCCGCTTCTTTTGGTGTCTCTATGGTGGTTTCTACCTCCTTTGTAACAGGAGTCTCCGGCAAAGTTGTTGCAGCTGATTCAACCTGAATCATCATCATTCATCCATCCATTTTTAATACAACTTCGATTATCAAATTTTTAATATCTTCATTTAAACGTTAATTTAAAAAGATCCATGTATAAATCTGAAGAAAAAAGCTATAAACAAACAATTTTTTTTATTCCTAATTCTTATGTCAACTTTTTCTTGTTTTATTAACAAAATCAACAAAATAAAAATGTTGATCGACCAAGATAGATCAGGTTTGATAGAGAGCAAAAAGAATTTCAAGTGATCATAAGGTTTTAGTTAATCGAAGGGTAGTAAAAGAGAAAGATGTCATATTTAAGATCGTTTGGATCATGATCTTATATTAATATGACATAATACATCAAATAAATTTGTTATATAAATGAAATCTATGTTTTATAACCAATTAACAAACTAATAGAATATAAAAACAATTTTATAAAATTAAATCCAAAAAAACACTTTAAAGTAAAAGATCAGTGGAATAAATATTTGATAAAATATTAAAGCAAAAAAGAGAGTGGGATTACCTGAACACTGGCCATTGGGATTGGTTAAGAATGAAAGAATAGAAATAAAGAAAGGAAGAATGTTGATTTTGAGTATTTGAGAGTGAAGTGAGGGAAATGGGAGGAATGTGAGACCTATTTATAGGCCTCTCTATGTTTTTAGAAATATAAAAAATATTTAAATTAAATGTTGGGTTTTGTGAAGGAGTTAATTATATAAATATAAATGATGTGTTTTGGATCTAAGTTAAAGAAAACCAAGAGTTTATGTATAAGTTTATATAATTAAAAAATAAAACTATTTTACATTTAGATAAAAATGGACTTATTTGTAACTGTATCTTTATTTGATTATAAACGTATATAATATGATTTAAAATTTATGTTCTCTAAAACACATTTTCGTTTATAAATATTATGTTTTAAATAGTTAACTAAATATATAGCTTAATTAACGATCAACAACCATTTTAAATATTTTGAATGATGTTAACTATAAAAAGTAAAATAAAATAAAAAAACTTACGAATTTCAATCAAATTTGTTTATATAATAATATAACCATCTATATTATTATTTTTTTCATCACACTCATTTGAAACCTTCAAATCTTTTAATTTTCTATCTTATAGATTAATTTTTTTAATTTGATTATATTATTAAATGTAAAATATTATCAAATTAATTATAAGCTTTTTAAATTATCAATTTAATATATTAATTTAAATATTATGTTATATGTAAAACCTACATATTTTTTAAAATTAATTGTCCGAAAGAATAGTTAAGTAACACAAATTCATCATTTATATTTATTAACGAGCAAGTTGCGGATAAAAGTTATTGAATATTGTGATAATCAATTTTGTATAACAATATTTATTTCATAGTTAATGTTAATAATATACAACATAATATATTTATCATGATTTATATTTTTTAATGTGTGCAACGAACAAATATTCACCTGCTTTGTTATAATGTTTTAAAAAAACAAAATTTAAGTGGGGTTAAATCAAGATAAATTTACTCTTTTCATAGAATATAAATTTTATATTATTTATCAACTTTTAGCCAACAAATGACAATATTTTATTCTACATTAATTTTTTTTTATTACACATCAACTTTTAACCAACAAATACATTTATTTGATTCATATTTCAGATGCTGGGTACTAAGTACTAACCCAATTCTTTGCTTGTTAAACCGTTGATCTAGTTATGTTTATGAGATTAATAAAACTGAAGCATGTTTATTCAAACGGACTATATGTATGTTCTTTATAATGTCTTTTATTTATAAATATGTTAAAAATGAATATATGCTGGAAAGTAACCAAGCCATTATTCATCATTATAAAAAATAAAAAAATCCGTTTAATTTATCTAAAAATTTGTACACCTCATTTCCCTAACATATGAAAGCGAAACCACAAGCTCGTGTAGTTGTAAATGTATTTACTTTATCTAAAAAAAACATATAGTATAATTTAAGGACTACTTTTTTCCTTGTTTACTAAATTGTTTGAATAAAGAGGGGGTATAATGGCCAAATCCACATGGTGGAGGCCTAATTTGTAATGAGGTGGATCATATCTCTATTTTTAGATGTGTGATTTGTGCTACTTCATGTTAGGTGGATACCATGTTCTTCCATTTTGCCTTTTTTCTTGTTTTCTTGAAAATCCAACCTTAGTTTAACAAACCAAACTTCAATTATCATACCTTTTAATCCTAAAGCCATCATTTCAACTATTTGATTAGAATTTAAATAATCAATCATTTAATAAATACAAATATGCAATTGTTATATAAAATGGATTGTAGGTACTAGTGATCACCCACTTTGACCTCCCCGATTTTCAAGCATCTGGAGGATGAGAGACACATTTGGTAAAGATCACGGGTAGATCTACACGGTTGCCCGGGTTACCCATAATACCCTTCATATTTTTTGGCACCATGATTTTTTTGTGAGAAATTTTTCACATAGGTTGTGTTACCCCTAAAATTATATATGCAATTTTTGATATTTTGTCATGCGTTCGCCACTCATAAAGATGTTAATCTGTACAATGTCTGGTAGCTGTCTGACCTCCTCACCACCTCCAAATTGAAGCAATGCAAATTTGTTATGCAATGATCTTTTCATTAACAAAAACTAATTATGATCAAGAATAACCAAAGAAAATATTTAAGGAATGAATATCAATTAAAATTTGCTTCTTTTTTGATGTAGGTATGATGTTTGTCAAAATGTTGAATATGAAAAATTTTCTAATATATGAGCTAGAAAATTAATTGCAATTGAAACAGTCAAATAACATTTTTTGGAGAAAAGAAAAAAAAAAAAAAAAAAAAAAAAAAACATTCGTCGAAAATCGTAATTGTCGCCACCGCATTGGGTGGGTGCACACCTAGCTTGTGTGTGTATATATATATATATATATATATATATATATATATATATATATATATATATATATATATATATATATATATATAAAAGATTTGTGTGTTTAATGAAAAAAAAGCAAATGGTAAAATATAAAGTTATCAAGATGGGAATTATGATGAGATGAAGAGGAGGCCAAAGAGTGTCCGATAGGCCGGTGGATCTATGGCCCATATTTTGTTAACAGTTTTAATTAATCACCGTTAATCTTTTTGAATCAACGGACGAGAGGATAAGTGACTTGACGTGTCAAAACTTTTTTCGTATAGTGGGACCCACAAGAGTATTATGATTGTGGGTTTCAGTATTAAGAGGCGCCCATTTTGTTAAAAGTTGCTGAGTCATTGGGCCCACTTGTCCGGGAATCCTTTTCAGACAGTACACCTCGTGAAATCAGGACCAACGTGCCCAACCTGATTGCCACCTCGGATTACACTCATAGTTATTTGTATATGTTTTAAGCACTTTTTTTTTTTTTTTTAAATGAAAAATATATTTTTAACCATTTAAATTATAAAACAATTCAAAAGATAATAAACAAAAATGAAGTAATTTTTATTTAAATAGATTATATTATTATAGACTAATTACTATTGTTCCTATATGATTTATTTGCTTCAAGCCTTCAATATTTTTACCTCTTATATGATAAAATAACTTCAATATCAGGTTAGAGCATTCATTAAAATTTTAT